GGATGGTGGGTTGGGGGACATGGGTGGCGTCTCCTCGCAGTGACCCCCAGCTGTGCTGTGCCCCGGGGATGGGTGGCACCCAGCTCTGCCAACAAGCAGGGTAGCCCTGGTGATCAACCCCACAGCCCTCTCTTAAAGGAAGGGAAAAAACAAAATTAAGGAAGAACCCGAAAGGCAGGTAGTTGCATTACAGGCAGTGTGGGGTTGGGGTTTATATGGGTTATACAGAAACAGAGCAAGTGTTTAAGTCAATTAGTTAATTATGTGGTCTTGGGACAGATCCTGAAAGAGAATATTAAAAATATTGACTTTCAAATGAAACCCTGGTTTTGCCTGTTTAGCAGGCTCTGCTGATGTACCTCGAAGCAGTGCGTTTAACAGCGGCAGCCGTTAGCTTCTGACATTGCAGCAGCATTTCGTCATCATGCTAATTTAATTGAAGGAGGATATGAACGGAGCTGTCTGGCAATGCTTTACAGCCCCCCCGTGCCCGTGAAGATGTCATCTCAGTAATGTAATATTTTTCCCAGAAACAGCATTCCCCTGGACAGGAGTATAGGGACACTTTGCTGCCCCCCAAGCATTTTTTTTTTAAAGCTTTCCCGAAGCGCAGCGATCTTGCAAGGCTTGTTCTCCCCAAAGAAAAACCCCATTCACCCGCTGGAGCGGTTTGTTCCCAGAGAGGTCGTCTCCTCCCAGAGACAGCTGGCTCTTCTCAGCTATCACGAAATGGCCGCTGCCACTTGTAGCCTAGTTATGTCTTGTAATTAGTGACTCCAGTTAATTCTTTTAATCAAAACTATGTCTGCATGCAGTTCTCGATACATAAGCTAAGAAAAATAGTGCAAAAAGTTCAAATGAGATATAGAAGAGGGTTTTCTTCCCTACAATCTGTGTGAATATAATTGGATCTTTTCATTTTAATACCTTTTTTCTGTGTATCCTAAAATTCCAGACAATTTCTGCAATTAATGCAGTGTCTCACTTAATGTAATAAGTCTCCAAATATGTAAACGGCATTGTTTTGTTTGTCAAGCAGCATGAGTGTCAAACTAATTGCATGACCTGTTTAAAAATCGGGCAAGCTTGTAATTATCTAACATTACAGAAAACCCCCTGTCTTTTAATTAATGAGGGGTTTCTGTCACTATTTAGTTTCTTCTTTTTACAAGCCTCAGATGAATGCGTCTCATCTGTGTGTTTTGGTATTTGTAAGGAAATAGTTTTATTAATGCCCTTGCATGCATATTTATTCTTGATTTTTCAGCTACTCTAGATCAGCCTGAGATATGGGGTTCGGTGCAGCCCGTCAACGCAAACGTAGAGTCCCCAAAGCTACCAAGACCTTTTCCAACTGGAAGTAAGTGACCATGCAGGTTATCAACTGAAAATAAATGAATATATACGGAAATCAAATCTTTATTTTCCTCATCCAGACTCCTGTACTGTGCAATTCTGTAACATTCTAATCCCATAGCAAGTTAGAGGGGTTTTTCTTCCCCTGGCTTGACTCTAGCTTGGAGGTCTCTTCCAACCTTAATGATTCGATTCTATTCTATTCTAGCTGCAGTGCATTAGGGTGGAGGAAAGAGAGGGGTTTGATAAGGGATGGGATGGATGGTACCCAGGGTGGGAGAGAGGATGCACGTCCTCCCCGGGGAAACACACTTCTGCCAGTGTGTGCTCGATTTGCCAGGTGAAACATCTCTGGCCAGGGCAAATGACCTGCACGGAGCCAGCAGTTAAACCTGCCCTGCCCTCGGAGGTGAGGCGTGCCTAATCATTCATGTTAACGATGCAGTTATTTGGCTCAAAATGTCGGAAGCACCGGTTTCTCCAGGCTAACGTAAGGAAGGGCAACGCAGCCCTGAATCCCCAGTTTTCCTTGCAGCTTCCCCCATTGCCTGGAGCTGCTGGGGGAACCGCAGCCTTTCCTCCTCCCTAGCTGCAAAGTCATTCTTTCCTTGTTCCGCTGCTCCTTTTCCCCTCACTAGCCATTAGCACAACCTATTTCATGCCAAACCCACCCCCCAGCCCTGGCGCTGCTGGCTGGCCGGTGCTGATGTGCCAAGGTCAAGGCAACCTCTGGCCACATCATGAGCTTGCAAGGGGACTGTGACACTTGTGATTTAAGTGATTACTTAATGGTGCTGAGCCACATCCAGAGCAGCCACAGTGCCTCCTGGGCTGCTCCTCCAGGAGGTTCCGACCTGGATGCTATTTACATCTGCTTTGCAAAAATGCCCCTGTAAAGCAGCGCTGGGTTAATTAATCATGGCACTCCTCCTCCCGTATGTGCCTCCCGGATCCGTGCGGGATGGGCATGTGAGAAACGCGGAGGCAGATATGTGCCTCTGAGGCTACAGGTTTTAATTAAAATGTTAATTCAGGTTTTAAAACGAGTACAATCTAAGACTTAAAAATTAAAAACAAACAAAACAAAAACCCCCAAAAAACTAAAACTCAAGAAAAAAGGCCACCAGTGATTGCTTGTCGCTCAGCGAAACACTAAACTCCTGGGCTGTGGGGATGCTCCTGCTCGCCCGGCAATCATCCCAGGGCTGGTCCTGATGCCTGCTTTGCGCCTTGGCAGCACGCTGATGGATACCCCTTTCCCAGTGAAGCTGTGCACGTTCCCAAGCGTACTGTCACTGAATTTTTCCCTCTCTCTGCTCTGTTTTGCAGCACCTCCACCACTCCCACCAAAAAACATCCCGGCCACGCCACCGCGCACCGGCTCTCCTCTGACGGTGGGAATAGGTAAAAGCCCGGCGCTGCACCTCCTCACATGTGCCATTGCACAGTCACGGTAGACTGATCCAGAGCCCTTGGGGGCTGTGCTGGGGGGTCGGGTCCCTGTGGCTGTGTTTCGGACACAGATTTGGCCCTCGTGCATCCTCCTTCCCTTGCATTTGTGGCACTTCAGCAGATGCTGCAGTCAGGGCGGCGCTTTAGAAGCGGTGCAAAGATACCTTTGACTCCAGAGTCAGTGTTGCCCTGGTGAAATTAATGCTCTCTCCTCTCCCTGCCTTTGATATCGGTCACTTTTAGAAATGAAATGCAACACTAACCTTAAAGTCCTGCTCAAAATTGGGAATAACTAGAACACTATTACTGTCTGGAGTGGCACTGCACAGTCTGTCCTTATAAAATAACGGGGCATGCAGCACCTGTCTGTGTGTCAGGGGGGCTGATCCTGCCTTCCCTGCCCTCCCAAATTCCTACTACTGTCAGGGAAGGTGGGAAAAGTCCCCCCAGTCAGGCAGGCTGGGCTGGCAGCTGGAAATGTGGAGGGACAGGGGAGGGAGAATGAAATGATACCTGGGGTAAAGGACAGCCTGAAGAAAGGGATTGAATGCAGCCAGAGGACATAAAGTGCTTGTAAGCATATAATTCATGTTGCTGGCGGGGTGCTGTCTGCCGGAGCTGCAGGTTTTGAGGAAGGGCAGGCAGTCCCTGTTCTTTGGACAGGGACACTGTATGGACACGCGCATACAGAGCACCTCGGGGCGTTAACATTGCCATGAAGAAATACCCTGCCCTGAGCTTACTGCTCTATCCATCAATATTTCATTCATGTTGCCATATCTTGATTTTTCTATTTATCTAAGCAGCCAGACTGGCAGAGTGTCCACCTACATACATAGATTCATCAACATGAGCAAATGCAATGCCCAGCCATGTGTGATGGTTTATTTGCTGGAGTCTGGCTTGCTGCACACTTCAGCCTGTGCATCAAGTAAAGCAAGCGGCAGAGGTCTATTTTTTTTCTGTTTTAGCAAAACTATATTTTATTCCCTAAACATAGAACTGCAGGTGGCACCCCCAAACACAGGAACAGGGGTGAGATGCTGACACAAGGAGCTCAGAGGGCATGACAGTTTTAGCCGTATGCACGTGGCTGTAGCAGGGGCCACGGGCTCCTGTGCTACCCTGGTGCTGCAGCCACGCACTGCCCTGGTCCTCACCTCGTCCCTCCATTCAGTCTGTGTAAAATGAAGTACTAGGCAGCCTTCCTGGTGTTCGAGAGCTGCCAGCTCCCCGAGCTCCAGCCCTCAGGGAAGATAAATGCAAGAAAACAGGGCACAAAAGGAAGAATGGAGTATCTCCCTCCTCTAGATGTGTAACATTTTGCTGATGAATCCTGTCTCTGTGTTGGTTATGAAGTCAGATATGAACATTGACGTGTGTTAGCTCGGTTAGTGAGCAGAGCCCTAAAATACCCTTATTTGCTGCTGCTTGCGACTGAAATACATACACCCTGTCTGCTTTCCTGTACTGTATGTCCAGCACCAGTTCTTGAGAGTGTCAAGCCAGCAAGTTTAAATATATATTTATATGTATGTGTTCATAAATATATATATATAGTGGAGTGTGCAAGAGAGCTGAGTGCATAAGTTTATCTGCTGATAATTCAGAGTGATGATAATGACATAATGATGTTATTTAGATGATACATAACAAAGGCTGAGAGCCAGTTGTAAATTTTGGGAGGATACAGGACCGTTGTGTATGAAGTGGTGGAGGAGGAAGAGGTGCGCTTGGCTCGTGGTGCACTCTCATACAGTGTATGTATTTCAATCCAGTGTGGTTCATCATACATTGCACATGACCTGATGTAAAAACTTTCTTGCACATGAATTATATTTCCCGGCAGCTTATAAGAAAACATGCTTTTAAAGCATCTCCTCTAGAAAGTAGCTGATGTAGAACTCTGTAGAGAATAGTGCGACTGCAGCTCTCTTGGTTAATGCTAAGTGTAAAATAAAACTACTTTGACCACAGGAGGGGACCAGACAGCAGCAGAGCTCAAAAGTGACAAACTTCCGTCCATCAATGACTTGGACAGCATTTTTGGCCCCGTGCTATCCCCCAAGTCTGCTGCTGTTAATGCAGAAGACAAGTGGGTCAATTTTTCCGATCAATCCCCGGAAAACATGACTCCAGAGTTGACGCCCCGGGAAAAAGCGGGGTCCCCACCAGTGGCAGCGGGCAGCCTGGCTGATGCTCCAGTGGCCGAGCCCTCCCGCCCGCTCCCCTCGCCGCTCCACCTGGAAGAGGTTCACAAGAAGGTTTCTGAGCAGCCCCACCTTAAGGATGATAACTTGGAGCCAGCTGCCTCTCCCAAAGATTTTGGGCTGGGACAAAGAGCGACCCCGCCTCCCCCTCCTCCACCCACCTACCGGACGGTGGTCTCCTCACCCGGACCGGGCGCCAGCAGCGGCACGGGAAGCACCAGCGGTACGTCCTGCGGCGTTGGGTGTGCTTCGGTGTGGCTGTGACCGCATCCGCCGTCCCCTCCTGCCTGGTTGTGCCTGGCGCCCGTGCTCCCACCTGGCCGTCTTGTGCTTCCACGTCCAGCGTCTGCCCTTGGCTTCCTGTGTCCTCTCCCCTGCTCCTTGCTGCGTGTCGGATGGGTCTGACAGCCTTTCCCCAAAGCTCCCGTGAGCTGCCCTTCCCACCTGTGCTATGCACATAACACCCCGATGCAAAATTTGGCATAGGATTGCCATTGCTGCAGCTCTGTCAGTGAATGTAGGTGGAAACATCTGAGCAAGCCTCAGAACCAGGGGGCTTTAAATCTGTTGTGGACAGACAGGTCGCAGCATACTGTCACCCCAGGGCAGCTGAGACCAAATAACTCGCAGCTCAGAGGTGGCATGGGTCTGAATGGTGCTTGGTCCCTCTTGGCTGTGAGAGTGTGGATGCCCAGCTGGGTCTGGAGAAGCAGCTTTCATGGTGAACCTCTTACAAGGGCAGAAGCTGATAGGTGTGTCTGGCATGTGCTGGCTGCCTGGCTTCACTGGCTTAATTACAAATGCCTGTGTGCGCATTAGGACAAACGAGCTCATCAGAGGTCAGCTTACACAAGCTCTCCCACAGTGCTTGAGAAGGTGCAACCTGATCGTGTTATTTTAGAGGCTGACCCCAGGGCACTTACTGTACTAGTGCGGCCATGATGTGCAAATCCCCATCCCCGCCAGCTGCCCTGCTGCTGTCCTGCATCCATGAGAAATTATTTTTGAGAGCATTACCCCTGCAGAGCCTTGCAGGCACCTCTGCCCATGCAGGCAGTGGTGGGAGATGATGGGCACATTGGGTGCGCAGCTCCCTAGCCCCGTGCCTGACCGCTGTCACCAGCCTCACATGAACTTGAAAGCTGTGCCATCTGCTTTGGGGCTTTGCTACCTCTAGGGAGGTGTGGAGGGGGCTGCTGGGGGTGTCCCCTGAGCGCGGCTGTTGCTGCGAGTGTGGCTCTGCTTTGGTGGTGGTGGCTTTTCTGTGCCAGCTTGGCAAGGTGGCTGTGGGGTGGGTGGATGGGGGTCCGCACGGGGGCTGCAGCATCCAGCTGCCGGTGGCACTGGTCAGAACTGGGACTTCTCCAGGGGATCAGCAGCAGGAAACAGAAAGCTTCTTCTTACACTGCTCTCCATCCCGATGCCAACTGAGCATCTGCCTTGCATGACCAGAGATCTGCAGGATGGGGACGTGCCAGTGGCTCTGCACGTGGGGATGGATAGATAAACCCCACTCAGTGAGGCAGCACTGCCTGTTTGGGAAGATCTGTGTTTCTTCCCCAGAAATTTACCTCCTGTCTCAGTTCAGTGTGCTTTGCAGCCCGCTGACACCTCAGCCTTACCCAGCCCAGTGTGGGACAGCGAGCTGTAAAAATGCAGAGCATTAAAATAAGCACACAAAAATCATGCAAGTCTTCAGAAAGCTGCATCCTGTGGCAGACGGTCTGGGTGCGTGGTGCGGATTTGGCACCCTTCCTGCTCCTGCACCCTCCACCTTCTCAAGGCCCCTGTTGCTGCATCTGGCCCTGGGGGTGTCTGGCTTTCGGATGCTGTGGAGCAGAGCCATCCCAGGATGCCCTCCTGCCTTGGCTCCTGTGGGAAGCACGGGCTTGTGGGTGTCACCGAGGCAGGGCTGGGGATGGGCATCCCAGCAGGCTTCTGATTTCATGCTGATTTACAACATGCTGCCACAGTTTGTTGTGGTAGAAAATATCTAGAGGTACACCAGTCTCCCAGGGACCTTAAATACCTGAAGAATAAACCTCCCTGGATGAAAGCTGACGTCTGGCAGGGCTTTGGCTAGCTGGTGGCCGCTCCTGAGCCGGGGCAAAATGCACCCTTGAAGTCTCCGTCTTGTAACACTCGTTCAGTGCTGCTAGGTTACTTTCCCTGAATAATTCCTATTTTGTCAGGCGTTTATTTGGATAAGGAAGGAAAAATTCAAACTTTGGTTCCCAAGTTAGGCTTCTAAATAAAAATGGCTTGAATTTTAGAGTTGTGCAAATGAATGGCCAGGATTTGCTCTCTTTAAAAAAGCCCATCTCTCATCTTAGCTTTCTGTCATTTACCTCTCAGTCTCATTTCTATAGACTAGCTTTGATATTTCCTTAATCTGAGCTATCACCCAAAAAACTTAGTAAACTGATTCTCTTGTAAGTGGGAAAAATAAAGCTAAAGACGTCACCTTATTGTCACTGTGAGCAAAACATGCCGCTCTGCAGATCATAATGTGCTGCTGTGTTCCACGGAGACTGGTAGGAAATGCCAGCTCAGCTGTCCTGCAAAACGGGGTCTGCATCCCCCGCCAGCTCCTGGTGCCCCTCTTGTCTTGGTGCAATCTCCGACTGCTCTGTACAGCACCAGTAATTGCTGAACTTACCCAGAAGGAATTTCTGTACATGGAGTTTGCTGGGTATCCTCTTAAGTTTCTGTTAAAATTTCTATTGATTGCAAAAAATCCCCCTTCACAGCAAGGCAGCAGCCGCTGGGGACCACATGAACCCCAACAACAGCACCCTCTTGTACTCTGAAACTCTTCCAGAGGGTTGGGAAATGCTTTGCCCTCCCAGCAAATCTGATAACCTTGCTCTTCCACCCTTCCTCTTCTTCACTCGGACAAAGCTTTGCCCCTCTTGCCAGGACCCCTTGTTCTCATGGTGGGGGACTGACCCTGCTCGCCGGCTATGCCACCCCAGGAGCTCATGGAGCCCTGGGAGCTGTAGCATCGGCACCAGCTGCTGCAGGGGTTAATCATCGTTTTTTTCCTGCCCATGTCTGGTTTTCAGGAAAGCCGTAAGACTTCTCTGATAACATTTTTGCACAGCGCTCCTGGCCGAGGGAGCCAGGTACCCGGCACAGATGGGCAGTCCCTGCGAGAAATGCATCAGCATCAGCAATCACCAAAAGCTCTTCTCCCACACAAAGCTGCTGGCGTGGAGCAATGGTCAAAGGGAGCTTGTGCAGGGTGTGTGTGGGCACCCATGCTGGCTCCTGGGGGAGAAGCCTTTGTTTCGTGCACGGAGGAGATGGGTACGGGTGGGCACAGGGATCTGGGGGTGGGCAGCTGTGGGGGCCAGCCTGCAGAATGCTCACGGCTCCTGTTTGTTGCAGG